ACACTGTTCCTTAAGCCATCACCTGCTTGAGAATGTCAAAATCACTCATGATTAACACACACACACTCGCCTTGATACTCTTTTGCTTGAATTGCATGTCACAAACATACATTTCACATACACGCAAGAAAAGGTTTTGGAAGAGGGTAAAGAAAACATGAAATTTGTTTTCTAATGCATATCTGTTATTATTTGTAGTCATATTTTCCCAATTAACTTAGTTAATAAATCAATTTCTAATAACAGGCTTTCCATGGAAGTTGTCAGAAGCCATGTGTTGCCGAAATCGGTTTGGCTCAGTGGATAGAGCGTCGGCCTGCGGACTGTAGGGTCCCGGGTTCGATTCCGGTCAAGGGCATGTACCTGGGTTGCGGGCACATCCCCAGTGGGAGGTGTGCAGGAGGCAGCTGATCGATGTTTCTCTCCCATCGATGTTTCTAACTCTCTATATCTCTTCCTTCCTCTCTGTAAAAATTCAATAAAATATATTAAAAAAAAAAGAAGCCATGTGTTGAAAGGAAGCATAAAGGAGCCAATAATGATAGATCATAAAGAGTTAACCCGCCAAAACTGGATCCTAAATATCAAACAGGCACATTTTAGAATTTTACGGTTTTGAGAAAAGGTCCCCAATGCTATTATTATATACTAGAGGCCCGGTGTACGGATTCATGCACTGGTGGGGTCCCTTGGCCTGGCCTGTGGGTATCAAACCGAAACTGGCTCGCCGACATCCCCTGAGGGGTTCTGGATTGTGAGAGGGCACAGGCCAGGCTGAGGGACTCCACTAGTACACGATCGGGGGCCGGGGAGGGACCACAAGAGAGCTCCAGGGCATGTCTGGCCCATCTCTCCCAGTCCTGATTGGCTGGACCCCAGCAGCAAGCTAACCTACCGGCCAGAGCAGCTGCCCCTGGTGGTAAGTGTGTGTCATAGTGACTGGTCAAATGGTCAGACACTTAGTATATTAGGCTTTTATTATATAGGATAGATTTTTTTTCTTCCTTAAAAAGTGCATTACAAAATGGATGAACCTTGAAACATTATGCTAAGTCAAAGAAGTCAGTCAAAAAAGACCATTTATTGCATGATTCCATTTGTTGAACTATCCAGAATCTATAGAGAAAGAAAGTAGATTTATGGTTGCTTAGCAGTTGGGGGCTGGTAATGACAGTTAAAGGGCATGGGGTCTCTTTTTGCAGTGATGATAATATTCCAGAGTCTCTCTTTTTGAGGTTCTGGTGATGGTTACATAACTGTAAATATGCTAAGAACCACTGAACCATATGTTTTAAATGGGTGAATTGCATGATATGTGGATTATATCTCAATAAAGCTATTACCAAAAAAACACACATTTGCAACAAATATTATACATGGACATTTGTAGTTTTTGATTTTTTTCAATTCTTACAATTATTTTAGAGGTGAGAACTATGGAATTCAGGGAAAGTGGAACGCCATGGCTAACTAGCAGTGCCACCTTGATGTGGGAAGGGAGTGGGTGCTTGGAGGACTTTGGCTCTAGGTTATGTCACAGAAGGTGCAGATATATGGACCAACAGGGGGTGGGAGGTTCAGGGCAAATTGCAGCTTCCCAACAGACATACTGGAGTGTATAGCTGGGCCTTCAGCAGAAGCCCAGCCATACAAATTGGGGCATGGAGGACCTTTTGGGGCTCCTGGGGACTGACTGGATGCCAAGAGCCATGGGGGGCTGGTTTAGGTAAAGGATTCCAGCTGCAGGGAAGCACCAGGTAGTAAAGGTGGCTAGATGAGGTGGTTTGGCCTTTTCAGAAGAATTGAATTCACCTAGACTCCCAAGTTAGGGGGCCACCCAAAGTCACATCTGATTCCTAGGGATGTTAGTTCACAGCCTTACCAGGATGTGTCTTCAACCCAGCTGTGTGAAGGGAAGAAAGAGAACCAGAGAGAAGGAAGTAAATGTCCCAATCAAGTTCCTCTTAATAACCCCTTATTCCTCCCACCCATGTTGCCATTCCCTATATCCATTCAATTCAACATTAGTCATGACAAAGACCACGAGAGGGACTGGAGAAACAAAGGCCAAGAAACAACTCCTGCCTTCAAGGGGTTGATAGTCTAAAGGGGGAGGACAACTCATAAAGATCATTTTCAACATAATGATCAGATCCTGTGACATCTGCGCATTACCATGTGTTCAGGTTGGATTGCATGGTCTGCTTCTAGAAGGCCCAACTTAAGGCACACACCTACCACAACTAAAAAAATAACACACTGAAATGTTATTTAACATACTTAATATTTCACGGAAATTGAAGTATTTATACTTTCCATAAGCATTACTCAAAGGACAAAAATATTCTTGGATGAATTAAAATTTTCTAAACAAGACCTTGTAAACACATCCAATATGAAAATGTCTCCAGTTAACAGAGTTCATCATATCCTCAATGGCAAAACATGTTAAGGTGGCATGTTGGGTCAGCAATGAACACAAAATTGGAATGTAAAATTGGATTGTTGATGTCAAGAATTTAAAGTCTTCCCCCAGCATTTTATTCTCAAATGTGACATTTTGGATTCAACTGAATGCATGCTGATGGGCAGGTCTGCGCCAATTTGGGGTTAAAAGTACGCTGTTTAAATAGCTGTATTTAAATTTTATCACTCTGAAATTTGGCTTAAATAAATTGTGCTGCACTATTTTTATCATACATGAGGTCAGATAATGTAGTGGGGAGGGAGCAATAGATACTGGTCCAGACTTCGGAACTCAATATCCAAGTCACCCAGACAAACTGTAGTCCCTCTGGGGCTCATTTGCCACATTTGTTTAAAAAGAAAAACAAGAAATTGTGGAGTAAAGGGTGAGGGTTTGGCTAAAGTATCTCAAATATTCCTTCTAGCAAAATTCTATTAGGTTGAGTGAAGGTCATTTAATTTCATCATCCAGATAGATCTGTGCACAGTGAATCATATTGGTATTTTATTTTTGAAATAAGAATTTCAGTACTTAAAAAGGAAAAATCAACCATAAACCCATCTTAGCTCTAACATTAGTTAACTGGAACACTTTTAGCCTCTGAAATGTTAAGCAAGCCCTTAACCTGAGCCCCTACCTGCATTTTATAATTTGGATAATTTAAGTCACAAAGTAGTTCCATATCTGACAAGAAAGCAAAAATACTTTGACTAATATTTTATGCACTTCCAGAATTATTTCTAATTAGAGACCTTATACTGTAAGTACTAATGCATATCAGGCAAAAAATGATACAATTTTATCCTTCCTTGGGTCTTTTTTCTATGAAATAGAACCCCAACTGTTAGAAATGCAAGTTAATGCCCTCAAAAGGTTCACAGATGGCCAGAGGGGTTGCATTACAAAATAGAAAAATCCATTCTAGATGAAAGAAAAACACAGAGTAGCCTCCAAATTGGCCAAGAAAAGTTACTGTGATTACTTACTTATTTAAGAGCAGAACGAAGGAGATGGGAGAAATGTTTTCCTAATGTCTCAAGATTGGGGTGGTTTTAGTCATCATTTCTCTGCTGGGTGCATCTTATAAAAATAACTTCATGGGAGGGGGGGGGGCTAGGAAACTCCAGCCTTTACAGAGCTTAGCAACGTTACTGCCCATTATCTCATTGAAGATGTAACAGGCAGTAATTAGATCAGAGCCTGGAAAATCAAGGAGAGAAACTGATTTATTTAAGAATAATTTTCTTAAAGCAATTGGTCATCCCAAGGCAGAAAACTCAAGTCAGTCACCTACAATTTCCTTGTCCACCCTGTCAAGGGATGGGCCGGGCAGGGTGCAAGAACAGAAGCTGCAGGGAAGCGGGGATGGGAGCAAATTCCTGAATGCAACATGTGAGCCCCGCGGGAAAAGCGTAGAGCGGGTCAGAACCCTGCAAACTGAGTCCAGGTGAGGGTGTGCTACCTAGCACCGCTAGCTGGGAGCCCAGATTCCTCTGGGGTGTTCCCGCCATTGGCTCCTCTGAGCACCCAGGGCTCGAGGGTGCCAACGCGCAAAGTCGCCGCTTAATCCTCGCTCTCTCCGGATTAAAACACAAAGTTGGGAGCCGGAGGCTTCCTTCCTGGGACACCAGCGGGTAGACACTCCTCCAGCCCAGCCGGCCTCCCCTCCCCATAGGGACCCTGAATGGCTCGAGTCTCTCCAGTGAGCGCTTCTTCCCAAACCCCAATCGAGTTTCGGGGACCCCCTGGAGACCAGCGACTCTCTGAGTAGCCGGAGTCAGGTTCCAGGCCCCGGCCGCTTCCTCCAGTATCCAGGCTCTCGGTTCGCGTCCAGCAGCCGGGGCGCGGGGCGGGGCGCGCAGGGGAGGCCACGGCCGCGCGCTATTCTTGTCGCTGTGAGCTACCCGCCTGTTATGAGCAGCATCCAATCACGCCTCTGACTGCCCGCGCTGACCCGCACCCGCCCTCCCTAATCCCCTAGGCTTTGATTTGATCCTCTGCGCGGAACAAGCTCACCCCCCCATCCTGCCCCATAGCCAGTTGTCCCCTGCCCTCGCGGATGCCCGCAGAACCCGTCTTCTTCATCCACCCTCGGGAGGTCAGAGCCCTCGCCTCTACTCCCGGACGCCCCGAGGCGGGCGACATCTGCACATCTGAGCCGTCGGAGATCCAGTATCCGCGGGAGTAGGTCCACTAGCAGCTCAGCCCTTCCAGGTGATGGTACGCAGCCACTGCGGCCCCTGGCGCGCAGGTGTGTGCTCCCCAAATTGGGCCGGTGTGGGGGCTTTGGGCAATGCACTGGCAGCCTGGGAAGCTGCGGAAACCAAACCCTGTACCTCCAGGAAGCCTCGGTGCCCTCCACCACTAGGGGCTTCTGGAAGCCGTTCCAGACAGAATTGTCTCTGAGAGGGAGACGGGGAGATCTACGAATCTGATGAAGGAGCCCCTGGCTTTAAGCTGAGCAGGAAAAAAATGGGCCCCTGAGGCTTGCTCGTGGGGCCCCAGGATGCCTCAGGCCACGCCCGGTTGGCCCCAGCCCCCAGCCGGCTGCTTCCCACCCTGCGCAGCATGAGTTACTTCCTGTCTTACTGCAAAGCTCATGGCGGCGCGCTGCTCACTGGCTACCAGGCCCTGCGCGCCGAGGGCTTCCTGTGCGATGTGACTTTGGAGGCCCAGGGCAGCGAGTTCCCGGTACACAGGTCCCTCCTCGCGTGTTCCAGCGACTACTTCAGGGCCCTGTTCAAGAGCCACACCCTGGAATCCCGGGCACGCGTGATTCACCTGCACGTGCCGTCGGCCACCGGCCTGCAGCGCCTGCTGGACTTCATCTACACCGCCTGGCTGCCGCTCTCCATGGACACTGTGGAGGACACGCTGGAGGCCGCCAGCTACCTGCAAGTCACCGAGGCCCTGGGACTGTGTGGCCGCTACTTGGAGCGCCTGCTGGCTCTGGAGAACTGCTGCTTCGCTGCCAATGTGGCGGCGCGTT